AGTGGGGTACAATGTAACTTCATGGCACAAGCGAATTGGAAGGTCCATTGTGCTTTTCAGCAAGTCAGCTTGATATTCCCTATTATCAGAGCTGAGTTCTTCCTTGGTTTTGCTCCATACTGCAAGATGGATCCATCTACCCTTGAAACACAGTGGTAGAGGTCATCCATAGGGGTGAGAAAGATGATGATGGGAGGAAGATTATGTGGGCAGGGGTCACTCGCCCCTTGCCCTACAAGTAGGGCATGCGCAGACTGCTGCCATGAGGTGATGATCAGGCGGGGTTTGGCTGCCATTCAGGCATCACCTTATCCTGGGTACTGGCCCTACGTAGTGTAATGTGGAACTGATAAAAATGGGGTGTCGGAGCTGCTGAGTTGAGCGATCCTCATCCTACCACCCAGACTGTTGCTCCGCGGGGACGCCCGCTAAGCACGGGTACCAACCAGCTGCTGCAGATCCTGACAGCCCTGGCCTGTCTGTGTGGGTAAGCACAGTTTATTGACAGGAAGCAACTGAGAGAACAAACTTTTTAATATCCCTTTAGTGTAACTTTAATTCCCCTTTTATTATTGAATATTGTTACATAAATAAGTTGTTCACAGTATTTCCCTTTAATTTCCCTTTTTACTAACCAATATTGTGTTAATAGTTATCCATAATATTGTGTTAAGATCCCTATTTTGGTATCCCTTTAACCTCCTTTTTTCACTAGTTAATACTGTATTAAATGCTGTTTGTAGTATTTGTTTTTAAGGCCACACAATAAGATATTTTGTATCCTTTTTTAGTTCTTGATTATCTTTGCTAAGATAATTATTATTATTATTATTATTATGACTGTAATAAACGATATTTTTTTGTTTGAATATTTCTGGCACTTGTCTTTATTCCAGACATGTATCCAAAGGAACTGTCTTTTCCCTGGATAGGGAGAGCCTCAGTAACTGTCTGTGTTAGTTTTGTCTTCGTCTCTGGTTTCTCTAAGGGTCTTTGTGGTTTAGAAATTCTGCCTTCTTGGTGTCCAGGTCTCAAAAATAGATTTCTCTGCCAGGTCTCTGACCACTGAAATATGGCAGGCCTTAAACTTTTGCTTTGTTTTTCTAACAAATGGCCATGGCCCAGAACTTGTCCATCATCCATTGTCTCTTGCCCCCATTCAATCTCCTGCCAGCAGTTTCTCCCCACTGCTGGGTGGGTTCCTTTGTCAAGCACTAGAACTTGTTGGGTAACAGGCCCAGTCCTGTTGCACATTTTTCGTGGGGATCTGCAGGAGGGCATTGAGTCTTCCAGGAGCAAATTGGCAGAGGACCCCAAGCTGGCTTGCAGTGTGGATGTGCTGGAGGGCAGGAAGGCTGTGCAGAGGGACCTGGACAGGCTGGACCTCTGGGCCGAGCCCGTGGGCATGAGGTTCAAGAGTGCCTTTGGTGCCTTTGGGGCCTCTGGCCACAAGAACCCCCTGCAGCTCCAGGCCGGGGGCAGAGGAGCTGCAAAGGGTCCCCGTGGGAGAGGCCCTGGGGGTGCTGGTGGACAGAGGATGAACCTGAGCCAGCGGGTGCCCAGGTGGGCAAGAAGGCCAAGGGCAGGCTGGCCTGGATCAGAAAGAGTGTGGCAGCAGGAGCAGGGCAGGGATTCTTCTGCTGGACTGGGCACTGGTGAGGCCACCCCTGGAGTGCTGTGTCCAGCTCTGGGACCCTCAATTCAGGGAGAACCTTGAGGGGCTGCAGTGGGTGGAGAGCAGGGCAATGGAGCTGGGCAAGGGTCTGCAGTGCATGGCCTGTGAGGAGCAGCTGAGGGAGCTGGGCTTCTCCAGCCTGGAGAAGAGGAGGCTCGGGGCTGACCTTCTCCCTGTCCACAACTTCCTGACAGGAGGCTGGAGCCAGGTGGGGGTCAGCCCCTTCTCCAAGGCAACAGGCGATAGGACAAGAGGACAGGAGGACCTGCCTGTCAGGGGCTGTTTGTCAGGGACAGGAGCAGGACTTTTTGGAGTGAAACAGGGATTAGGTCTTGAAATGGGCTGCCCAGGGAGGTGGTGGAGTCACCGTCCCTGGAGGTGTTTAAGCAAAGACTGGCCATGGCACTGAGTGCCGTGCTCTGCTTGACGTGCTGGGGATGGGGCGTAGGCTGGACGCCGGTTGATCTCACAAGTCTCTGCCAAGCTCAGGGACTCTGGGCTTCTGTGCCACCCCAGCCTTTGGGGACAGCGTGCTGGTGGCTCAGAGGCTCCGTCCTTGCCTTGCCTTGCCCATCTCCTGGCTGCCAGGCAAGGGCCTTGTGACATCACAGTCTCTGTGGAACAGCGTGGGGGCTGAAAAGTGTCAGTGCTGCGTCCCCGTGCCCAGAGCCTGGGCAGAAGTCGGCTGGCAGGGACGGGCAGAGACTGTGCAGAGGTGTCAGCTCGTCCCGCAGCAGCACCATGCCCAGCCAGGGCATCTCCTGGCTCCTCAGGCTCTCGGTGCTCCTGCTCTTGCCTGGCCCACTGGAGCCTTGCAGCCGTGCCACAGGTGCCATTGCTGAGAACCGGGGTTTGCCTTGGATGGCCCCTTGCCAGAAAAGGCAGGAGAGGCTGGAGAGAGGGGAAGGAGGGGGGTCAGGCCGCTGGGATGGTGCCGGCGGGCCGTGAGCCCGAAGCCAGCAAGGCCTTGGGCCCACCCGGTGTCAGGGGAGGACTGAGAGCCCCCAGGGAGGAGGAAAGCTGGGCAGGCCCCAAGGCTCCTGGGCCTCTTCCTTGGCAGCCCTTTGGCCAAGGCCCCCAGGCAGAGGTGGGGCTCAGCCCCTGCCCAGCAATGGGGCACAGGCTGAGCCCCAGGGACACCAGACCCAGGCGGCCTGAGCTCTTCTTCCTGCAGCGTCTGCCTGGGGCAGCCCAGCCAGGCCTGAGTCTCTCCAGGAGAGGCCAAGCCCAGCCAGAGAGGGCTCAGCCCTCTGAGGCTGCACTCACTGCAAAGGGAACAAAACATTGGCCCAGAGGACATCCTGCCCCCAAATGGAGAACTGGAAAGGTCAAGAATAAAAAAGTCACCCCCCTCCATTCTTCAAGAAATGTTTAGAGCTCTTTCCTAAAAGCATCCAGGACTCGGGTCACCCAGTTTTCTCTCTGACAAGGCTTTGCAGGGGCTGCTTGGGAAAGGGAAGCCCTGGGGCCCCAGTGCAGATGGTGGGGCTGCACTCTGGGGGGGTCGGCCTTTGGCTCTTGGCTTCCAGGGGCCCCCAGGAGTCAGTGAGCCGGGCTGGGGACGAGGGGCAGGACTGGCTGGGATTGCCTCTGGGGCCTGGCCCAGAAAATGGAAGTGTCCCCATGGGGGCAGCTGGAAAGGGCCCAGGAAGGAAATGCTGCCCCAGCGCAGGCTGTGGCAGTGGGGAGTGTGCAGGGGGAGGAGGCTGGGCCAGAGCAGGGCTGGGCAAGAAGGGCCAAGCCGCGGGTGGGTTCTCCCCCGGCCCCCAGGGCCCAGCCCCTGATGGGAGGGCCTTGGGCAGGGCCTGGGGCGACTGCAGGAACCTCCGAGGCAGCCCAAGGGCCGTGCTTTTGGCAGCTGGGTTGACAGGCCCAGCTCTCTGCAAGAGAAGTTGAGGGCTCTGAGCCAGAGAGGGGATGAGAGTCGGGTCCAGGCTTGGGAATGGCCAGGAGGGGAAAGGGATGTCTAAGAACAAGTCCCTCAGGAGAGGGAAGCAGAGAGGCTGAGTTTTGACCCCAGCACAAGGGTCTGCAGGGCAGAGCAGAGAATATCCCCCACGTGAGATTGTTGTGCATCCCTCCTTGCAGTTGTGACAGGCACTTCTCTTCAAAGGTCGTTCTGGGAGCGTCTTCTTGTTCTTTCCAGGTGGGATGCAAGCGGTGGGGGGGCCTTTGACAGCAAAGGGGAAACGAGCAAGTTGAGCATTTTCCTGCCAGTCTGAATCAGATGTTAATTCTGGTGGGCTGTATCCTTGGTGAATCTAAGCACATCCCTTGGCATTTGTTTTTTTTTCCGGGTGGTTCGCAACCTGAGAAGCATCAGCAGAGTGGGAAGGAGGTCCCTGCAGTCAGAGGTCAGTATAAAGGAAGCTGAGAGGGGAGCTTTGGTGAGAATGTTGCCCTCTGAGGGGATCCGTCAGTTGTGCCTTTGCCTCTGTGATGCTGAAAAACCCAGTCCGAAGAACTGCTCAGAGACTTTGGATCTTTGAGCAGCAAAGGGATTTATTGCCGACGTCGGCAGCGAGCGTGGTTCGCACCATAGAGAACTTGGTCGAGAGTTTCACACAATATCGGGGTTGTATACAATTTTCATAAATGATTAAATATGATAAATCATATTCATCTGATCACAACCTCTATCTATACATATTAATAATGGGCAAAGCTCGGGCGGAGCTCAGGGGAGCTTCTCTTGGTCCTCAGTTCTGGGAGGGGTTTAGGTGAGTCTGGGGTCTCTGCTCCTCTCCATCAGTCCCCAGTGTCCCCATCCTGGTCCCTCATGTTCCCACTCCATTCCTGGTGTTCCCATTCCCGGTGTTCCTATTCCCAGTGTTCCCATCCCATTCCTGATGTCCCCATTCCCAGTCCCTGGCATCTCCAACCTGCTGCCAATGTCCCCGTTCCCTTTCCTGGTGTTGCCATCCCAGTTCCTGCTCTCCCCAGGCTGCTCCCAGTGTCCCCAGCGTGGTCCTCCAGGTCCCCATTCCCATTCCTAGAGTTCCCAACCCAGTTCTGTTTTCCCCATTCCCATTTCTGTGTGTCCCCATTCCCAGTTCCTGCTGTCCCCAACCTGCTCCCAATGTCTCCATTACTATTCCTGGTGTCTCCATCCCATTCCTGATGACCCCAGCCTGTTCCAGTGTTCCCAACCTTCTCCTGGTCATCCCATCCTGCTCCTGGTGTCCCCATCCCTTTCCCCATTGTCTCCTGGTGTTCCCATTTCAATTCCTGATGTCTGCAACCTACTCCCAGTGTCCCCATCCCAGCCCCCCTGTCCCCATTCCCAGTTCTGGTTCCCACAGAGGAACTGCCGGATACGGGAGGAGGAGCCAGGATTTATTGCCCAAAGCAGGAGATTTTCACACCCAAATTAAAGCCTCAGGAATAATTGTGGTCCTGGGTTTCACACAGGAAAAAGCAGGAAGTTGATCCATCGGGAAGAGCCGCAGGGGGACCGGGGTGGGTGGGAGCAGCGGGATGAGCTCTGCCAGCAGCTCCTGCCTTTCCGCAGGGAGAGGGAAGGGGCGGATCCAGCTCCAGGATCGCTCAGACCGTGATTCCTGCTGGGATTGGAGCGGGGAAAGGAGTCGCCATGTCCCTGTTCCCATCCCAGGGGATGGAGCCGGCTGTGGAGCCCAGGGAGAGTAGGAACTGCTCCGGAATCCCTCCTGATCCTGCTCTGTCCATCCCACCCCAATCCCACTCCATCCATCCCACCCCAATCCCACTCCAGAATCCAGCCCTGATCCCAATCCACAACTCTACCTGATCCCACTCTGGAATCCTGCCCTGAGCTGCAATCCCCTTCCAATCCCACTCCAGCCATTAGGCCCCCATTCCCCTCTGGAATCCCGGCATCCATCCTGGGATCCCTGCACAGAGGATCTGGATCCACACACGCTGCTGGGACTCACTGGTGGGCGCGGGGTCGTATCCATTCCCCTCCCTCTTCCCTATGGAAAGAAAGTGGGATCAGCACCCGTGGCACAGGATCCCCGGAATGCTGCCGGGCGGATCCGTGCCCCTTGCCGACCCCCATCCCGGGAGTTACCGGATCGGAGCTTCCAGACACCGACTGCCACGAGGCCGATGATGATGATGATGGCAGCGATGACGGACACAGTGTCCTAGTTAGAACAGCTGGGACCGATTCCTCACTGGATGGGTGTAGCCCAAAAGTGTGTATTCTATGGCCTTCCATGCCATTTTCCCAGGAACTGTTGTCGGGGGGGGAGGGGGCCTGCGAGGTGGGGGGGGTGTCCCTGTCCTCATACCCTTTTATGGAATTCCCCGCTCTGAGAATTCTCATATCCTTTTATGGAATTCCCCGCTCTGAGGGAAGAACTAAGCATCCTTTTATGGAATTCCCCGCTCTGAGGGAATCACTGACCATTCCTGCCTGAACTGGAGAATATATAAACCTGGAGTTTCAGAACCTTTCCACCACTCGTGGGATCCAGAGGAAGGCTGCAGCTCACCACTCTCAACTAGACTGAGACCACCACCCTCAACTGGACTGCAATCACCACTTCTGACCAGACTGCAACAGCTCTCCCACCAGCAGGTTTTTTCCCCTCTCCCTTTACTTTGGACTCGGGGGGGGCCCAAGGAAAACCACTTTGTTCATGCCCCAGGGTGCTGGGTTATACATTTGGGTTTTGTGGATGAAAACCAATTGCTTGTCTGTATAATCAGACTTATTGGGCAAGGGGGGCCCAAGGGGGGCCCAAGGGGGCTGGTCCAGGGGGGGAAGGGCTGCAGGGGGCGGATCCCGGAGGAGGAAACCCGCCAAAAGCGGCGGCCCAGCCGAGGGAGGAGCCGAGCGGGAGCACAAAGAAGAGCAGCCAAAAGGTCCTGGCGGTGGCTGGGCAATGGCGGGGGGGGCGAGAGCGGTTTGGGGGCCCCCGTGAGAGCCGGGGGGGAACCC